CCTGTCCTATGATGCATCATTAGCTATTCTGTCCTTGAGCCCACCCCCCCCAACGCTCCCAACCCCCTGGTACTCTGTGTCCTTAAGTCAAAATTAACCTTCACTGTCATTTTTCTCCAAATCCCCCTTAAGACTAATCATCTTTTTTTTTTTTAACTTTTGTTACTCTGTGCACTGCTGTTGATGCTGCTGTGTTTTTGAATCTGCTTTTGACCAATCATCTCCAGGAAACAGTTTCCATTGTACTACTACTGTGGAGGAACGCATTAAATGGATGGGGTGATTTCTGATGAGCTAAATTCAACATGACATTGTTCTTACTCCAGTGGAGTTCACTTCACTTCACTTCAGTTCCGTGATGTGCCCACTGCTCGGTGTTGCCCAGGACACGAACGGCTGACGATGCGTTTTAGGAAGAACTTTAAAACGAAGGTCATCGTAGTCCGTCATCTAAGGCCGCTCACTCTGACCCGGATTCACCGGTGCAGTGGGGCACCGTGCCAACCTGGCCACTAACAGACCTCAGGACGGTAACACAGAGAAGTTGGTAGAAGCTGATACTAATCTACCGTTTGTATTCTGACCGAGGGCGTTGACATCAAGGACGACAATCGTCTGGTTGCTTCAACATGTTGGAAGCCGGTGTTAATGAGTTCATTCCTCGGTGTGTCTTTGGTGCTGATGCCAAGACAACCTGCCGGTCACCAGAGAGCAGCAGCTCCTGTCTGGACTTGTGGCTGTTTCACAGTCATTATTCCCATCGTCAGCTGCTGAGAAAGAATCTGTAGAACTGAGGGGTTTATAGTTCAAACTAAACACCTTTGATATAAGTGTCCATCTATTTGGAATAGGGAGGAGGAAAAACTAAGATTTGTTTTCTGATTTTTAAACTTTTATATTTGGAAATTTGTAGCTTTAATGAACTTATTTTTTGTATTCATTGTTTTGGTATTATTAAAATGTTAACTGTCTTATATATTTAAAACCACTCCTACAGGAACTTATTTTTTGTATTCATTGTTTTAGTATTATTAAAATGTTAACTGTCATATATTTAAAACCACTCCTGCTCCTACATACTCAGTGTACAGACGACTCTAAGCTCTTTCACTGGGGGAAATAATTCTGAGATATAAAGTTGTGAAACACGAAGAGACGACGCTTGAATAATAACACCAGAAAACTGGATTACAAGTAAAGTAAAAAAATTGTTAAAAGATATAAAATAATCACAGTTAGATATCAAGGCTGTGACGATGACACAGAGTCGTCATTTTAAGTTAGAATTTAAACTGATTTACTAAAGATTAATTTGATGGTGAGCCCAGCAGATCACAGGTGGAGCAGGCCAGGTAACGACAGTTAGAGGAGAAGGAGAGGGGAGGAGAACAGGTGCAGCAGGTGAGGTTGATTAGGTTGATTATCCCACGGAGGTGAAGACTGGCAGCAGGGAGAGCTGAGAGAAACAAAATGAAACATTGAAACAGTTAAACTACATAAAGCTGTGTGAGATATGGCCTCACATTCAAAGTACTTTGTTGTTTTTACCAGTTTATCCTCGTCATCTTTTCATATTGCCAAACTTGTTATTGCATCTCTACCAGCGTTCAGGATGTAATAACGCGAAGCCCCGTGTCTTCTTATCAAAGTCAATATACAGCCGTGTCATTATCGTACGGTGGCGCTCTCCCATAAGATCAGACGGGCAATATCAGAGATGGCGTGTTATGAAAAATATCTTTAATATCTTCAATAAAACAAAAGGGCGAGGACACGGGAGAGCTGTGGTGGTCAGTGGAGAGAGGGGCGGAAGGACTTGATTAGCAGGGGGGGGGATTTGCA